AGTGCCATTGATGGTTTCTCCATGTTAGACCCCTTCAGTCCAGGACTTCCCACCAATGTTTGCTGACACCCTTTCATGGCCGGACAGCAGTAAATGAGGAATAGATCTCTAAGGGCACCTCCAGGAGCTGTGTGGAGCTCTGACTTTCCCATTTGGGAATGCAAGTTGTATTCAAATAAAACCGAAGCAACTCAGCTACCTCCTGTGAAGTGAACTTCAACTTGTCATCAGGAAAGAAGAAATTGAAAGCAGTGATTTCCTCCTGTATTTTATAGAGTGGGGGGGGGGGGGGTTAAACTGGATGCTCTAAAATTTTGCCCTGTAAGATGTATGAGTAGTCCCTGTCAGAAGCTTTAGCCCAAAGACTGCACAGGTCTTCAACAATCCTTGAGAGAATCGCTCTTTTATCATCCAAATGGGAAGGTTCTCTTAGCTCCCCCATTTAAAAAAGATTTTTTTTTTTTCCATTTAGGAGTGTGTCTGTGTGAGTATATGCCACATGTGTCTGGATGCCTATGGGGGCCAGAAGAGGGCACCAGATCCCCTGGAGCTACCTGACATGGATGCTGGGAACCCAAGTGGACACCTCTGGGAAAGCAGCTAGCACCCTAACTGCTGGGCCATCTCTCCAGCCCCCAGGTCCCTGTTTTGAAGCTCAGTAAATAAATATGACAAGCTGAGGCACATTTGTCCCCCAGACTCAGCCCACTCCACCCTTCCCGGAAGCTTGGTTGAGGGTTTGATGTCACTAACTAAGGAAAGAAGCACACTTCTGCCTAACCTGGCCCCACAGATAGCTGGCCCCAGGTGAGAAAGAAGTAAGTGGAGGCCTGAGGGACCCTTTAAGATCACAGGTCTGTGGGGAAGAGAGGACAGCCTGTCCCCCTTCCCTCATGAGCCCCTCTCCCTAGGGCTGCTGAGGCAGCAGAACCACATAGAAACGTCACCGATGAGCAGCGTTTGATTTGTGCAGGTCCACATCCCGCCTGTTCTGTGAAAGCTCCTTGGTAACCACACACAAAGGTCCCTTTAATTTTTAATTGAATCCTAAGAGGTCTATTTTTTTTTTTCTGGAGGTGCCAGCTTAGAGTAATTACTAGAATCCCCAACAGGGCTAATCAGAGATTCATAGAAAATAAAGACGGCTGAAGGGACCTCACTCGATAGGCGGTTGTCACCTTGCTCTGAAGGCTCTGAAGATCCAGGGCAGAGGTCACAGTTCTTGCCACCCTGAGCTATTAATAGGAGTCTTGAAATCAACCCCCACCTGGTGAGATAAGAGAAAGTGATTATACTGCCCGGGTATCTCTTCTCCGAGGGCCAAGACGTCTCTCGTTTTCATCAGCTGTTTATCAAAATCAGATTAGCAAAGGAATAATCAGATCAGAATTGTTTACGCCTGCCTCAGTCTTGAGTTACAAATGGCTTTCCTGTGCGGCCTGAACTGAACGAACCACCCTGACCTACAGATGAACCTGCCTTTGTGTTCCCTGCACCTTGTCCTGAACCTGTAATTCCCCAAAGACCACAAGCATTAAGCCAGGCTGTTGATTGCCGTAAGGCAGGTGAGGCCAGTTCCAAGGGGCTGAGGAGATGCGGGCAAGAGATTCTATCTTGGTGATAAGTCATAAGTCAGTAATAGGTTGTTCTGAATGCTCCCAAGCAGAAGACAATGGAGCATTTAGTAGGTTCTGGAGTTACGTAAGATGGCGCTTTCCAAACAAAGAGCGGGCAGGACACCCAGCCAAAGGGCTGAGCACAGGAGGTGGTGTGGGCTGGTGGTTCTAGGGAGAGATGTGGGGGCCAGGGCTTCCTGGGTTCAGCTACCAGCCGAGACTCTGACTCAGGGGGAAGCACAGCCAAGTCTCTTGGCTCGAGGCAGAGGCTGCAAAGCCCGGGAGACAAAACCACAGGTCTGTGCTCAGGGACTGGGGAAAGCACATTTTGGGAATTAAAGGAAAAAAAAAAAAAAGGGATCACTCTGTTAAGTTACAATTTGGGAGTTTTTTTTTCTGCTTATTGGCTGGCATCCTCCTCTGGGCTGATGTGGTTCCAGGCCAGTCTGAGGGTGTTCTGTGGAAGATGACGAGAAGCCCTGGGTCTGAGGAAAGTCAGTCAGCCTTGGTGTGCTGTCTGTAGTGCTCAGGGATCCAGACTGGGGGCCAGGAGCTGCTGCATGAATTCTCTCCTTCTGTTCATCCTCCCTTCACAGTAAAAGCCCTCTGGACCTGTGTGAGGAAAAGTCCCTTCCCTTTCGCTCTATGGAAATCTCCTTTCAATAGGTCTGAGCAGAGTGTCACTTAGTTATAACCAGCAGTGGCTTTAGCTGCAGGCTGACAGTACAGCCAAGGCTAATGGGAGATAGTCTCAGTGTCCCACCAACTCTGGAGCTCTGTCAAAATCTTGGTCAGACAGAGTAGGTGGCTACCTACATGGTTGGGTTTGAAGCAGGTGGCCAGGTCTCCACTCTCTGGCATCATGATTCATTTCCCTAGATCAGAGAATTTTGCTGGCCCTTAGAAAGAACCTATTACTGTGTGGCTTGCATTTATGGGAATCGCTATATTAGCCACTAACATTTGAGTTCACAATACCTTAACAGAATCTCAAAGGAAGGGGAGGCAGGTTGGCTATGGAGTGTGTGCATGTGTGTGTGTGTATGGATGTGAGTGTGTATGTATGGGTGTGTGTGTGTATGATCTCTGGAAGACTGCAGAAAGCCCACAGAGAAGAGAGAATGCACAAGTAGAGAAACCACCTTGGCCACTTTCCCCAGAGTTATCTGGAGCAACTTTGAAACCGGGTGGTGGGTGGAAGGCTGTTCCGGAGTCATTGCTCTTGCTCTAACCCAAGCCAGGCCAGACAGAACCCAGTTTCTCTGTGGTTCCCTCAGCCAGTGTCCAAATATGCTCAGTGTCACTCCTCTACACATTTCCCCCATTCCGGTCAAACTCAGTGTTTGAAATCCTAAGCTTCCCTATAACAAAATGAAGGAAGCCCTCTCTCCTTTGAGAATGACTTAACATCTTTATGTCATTTTGCTACAATCTAAACCAAACATGACTGCAAGACAAAAGCTACAGGAAGTGATGCTGTCTGAGAAGACACGGCCCCTTTGGTGAGAGTACATGGATTCCACCCCAACGGAAGAACTTATCTTCAGTCACACTTTCCAACCAGGTTTTCCTGAGTTTGACAGTTCAGCCCACCTGCCTCACCAACTTCAGGTCCTCCCTGGGCCACCAGTGGCCTAACAGACTCCTGTACAGGAAGATGGAGGAAAACTTGGTGGATTTCATAAGATTACAGTCATCTCTGGTCACAGAGCTCAGTCCTTGAGGCAGCCCTGGTCTGGAACTACACATGATCAGGCAGAGACGACACTGTGAGCGTTTCTGGGAAGAAAGGTCTGGAAGGAAGTTCAACAGAGTAGATGAAACATCTCACCATGTTTCCAGGTCCGGGGCTCCACGGGGCCTCTCATCTCTCTTATCTGCCAGTCTCCTACTTGGGTATCAAGGACCAGCCCACATTGCACAGGTGAGACTCTCCTACCGAAGCGACAGAGGATGGCCCCACCAAAACTTGGGGTCCCTGTAATCTTTGCATTTGGAGTGCTGATATAGCCTCTGCTTTCCCCAATGGCAACGTGATTGCATGTCACAGCCCCTTGGGTTAATAATTCTTCTAATGCTCTTCCCCAACAAAAACAACTGCCTTTAAGTTCCCAGGCTTTTCAAAGGATCACTATACATGTATAAATATTTGCTGGAAAGACAGAATGAATGCATTGTTGTCTCAGAATAGTTTGACTTTTGCTTACACTTTGAATTTTAAAAAATGCATGGTAATATACATCTTATATTTCACAATGACTAGCCTATATCCAAGTTACTCCTGTAGCTAGATGTGGGGAACAAGCTCGTGTCCATGAAAAGTATCATAGGCTACACCAACCAGCCACAGAAGGAGGAAACCGTGTACTGAAGTTTCTTGGGTAAGTGCTACTTCATTTCACTTTCCCCCATGTTACTGTGAGGAGGTTTGATTTTTCCATAATTTGCATCTGTGGAAAGTAAAACCAAATGGCTTGTCCAATGTCACAGCAATCCGTGGTGGTCAGACTTCTAACCCTGGGGCCTTAACACTGAGTAATGAAATGCAGCTCAGGGGATGCATTGGTACTTATCTCCTGCTGTTTGCATTTTAGAAGCTTTCCTATGTAAACAGAAAGAGAGAGCACTCACAGTATGATGGACTCTTACATTGCCTCGGAGTTGGTAAGAGGAGGTGTGTGTGTGTGTGTGTGTGTGTGTGTGTGTGTGTGTGTGTGTGTGTGTGTAAGCTCTAGTGTGGTGATATTGTGTTCCTCAATATATTGTGCACCCTAATAAACGTATCTGGGGTCAGAGCACAGAACAGCCACTATATTCAACATAGGTTTAGGCAGTGGCAGCACACGCCTTTAATCCTAGCATTCCAGAGGCAGAGATTCATCCGGATCTCTGTGAGTTCAAAGCCACAATGGAAACAGGCAGGCATGGTGACACATGCCTTTAATCCCAGGAAGTGATGACAGGAAGCAGAAACATATAAGGCATGAGGACCAGGAACTAGAGTCTTTTTAAACTTTTAGCTTTTAGTAGCAGTTCAGCTGAGATCCATTTGGATGAGGACTCAGAGGCTTCCAGTTTGAGGAAACAAGATCAGCTGAGAAGTTGATGAGGCGAGGTTAGCTGTGGCTTGTTCTGTCTCTCTGACCTTTCAGCATTCACCCCAATATCTGGCTCCCATGTTTTTTATTAATAAGACCTTTTAAGATTCATGTAACACTCTAGTCTCTACATACATGAGGAATCAGGCAGTATTAATCTTTCTGAACCTGCCTTATTTCACTTAACACCTTGACCTCCAGGTTCTAACAAGTTTCTGAAGCCAGCACTGATCTGAACAATTTCACATATACCAATTCACATGCATCACACAGTCACATTAAAACATTTGTGGATTATGAGAAGTTTATTAATAATGGAAACACACAACCTCCCTTTAAAAACAACCACCTCAAATGTATAGAAACACTTCATCTTCTTCTCTTGATTTGATCAAGGCCAGGAAAGGAAACTGCAACACCAGAACACAGAGCCACAGTTCTGAAAGGGACAGTGCTCATTTGAGATAAGAAAATTAGAAGACACGAATTCATTTCAGTGGCTTGACCACTAAGCATTTGGCCATCAGACAGACAGAATTTACACTGTACTGCTAAAGCACATTGTGAGTTTTTTAACTGGAGTAAAAATCCAGTGGCATATTTATACAAATGTGATCATGCAGCAAGGATTCAGAGACAGTCACCAGGAAATACCAGGACACAGTTCATGTTTGCAAATGATGAACAGCTTTCGAGTTCATTTCTGATGGTCTTTCGGTAACCGCTCCTCAGCTGCTCCCTAATACCCCCCCCCCCCCCCCCCCCCCCCCCCCCGCCCCCCCCGGGCAGCTTTTCTCCAGTCTCTACCACAGTCTCAGAAAAGAAGAGCATGCTGCACATAGAAGGCAAGCGAAAGAGTATCAGGAAACCACCTTGGACATGGATACAAAACATATACAGAACGGAATTTTGCTGTGGGAACACACTGGAAGGCACTCAGAAAAGAACATCTAAGCTTTCAATCCAAAGAAGGAGCAATGTGAGACCTGCCACTTGACTGCAGTTTCTAGGGCTTTGGAGTAGCTATGGTTTAGGCATGGCTCCAAGGTGCTGCCTACACCAATTTGGATGGAGCTTGGGAGCCACAGATGATGGTCACGTGAAGGCGCAGACCCATTGAGTGGGCTCGGTTACAGTCTGTACATTCAGACTGTCGTATTCCTATTCCAAGTACTGCCAAGTCCTGGCTGCTTCTTTTCTCTGCAAAATCTTGCTTCATTTAATTCTCCTGAAGGAGGCTTGGGAGGGGGGCTGTGCAAATCTTGCTGTTTTGGGGTTTGGAAGGCACAGTCACCATCCTGGCTCTTGGACAGATTTGAAGTGTAACATTCTGCTAAGTGAGAAGCTCTGTGCCTGCTCCTTCTCTGTTGTCCTTAGTGCAGCTTCAATATTTGCAAAACATAAAGTCAAAATACTTCAAATCCAACCCAAAGCCATTTGTTATTCATGCAGCACAGTTCTTACACATACCAGTATACAGTGAGCTTTTAGCAACGGGATCCCTTCGTTTGGTTTTGCTCCTTCTATGCACTTACAACTTTGTCCTCCTCTTTGGGGAGTTAAGAATAATTTGATCATATAATAGTAAAATCCCTATTCTATGCAGACAAAATATTATAACCTTAAACCATGCCTACTTTTGATTGTGTTAGAAAACAAGAAACCTGCAGGCTAAAATTATTGTACCCTTTAAAATGCCCCATGAGTTGTTTGTAAAGCACAGAGCAACCTAATTGTGTAGGGAATCTTGATTTTCTCTCACACGCACAAAACCCTTTTGATTGTGCTGGTCAAAGTCGTGGAAAGTGTTCTGTTGTTCTGGGTGCCTCTAGCGGTACCCAATGCACAGCCACTGACTTGAAAACAACCTCCCTTTGAAAGGACAGCCTGTGACATCCCCATTCCCAATCCTTTTGCTATTTCTACAGAAAACTATCATAAGTCAATGTGAATTTGGTTATTCCTCAGAGTGTGCAGGTGCAACTGTGTGTGTGTGTGTGATCTATGTGGAGGCCAGAGGTCAGCGGTCCACTCTGGTTTCTTTTTTGTTTCTTCGGTTTTTGTTCCCTGAGACAAACTCTCTCACCAGAGACCTAAAATTCGATCTTAATAAAGCTGGCTGGTCCAGGAGTCCCAGGGATCTACCTGTCTCTACATCCTCAGTGCCAGGATTACAAGCACATATCACTATGCCTGGCCTTTTTACCTGGGTTCTAAGGATCAAGTTCTTACTGGGGTGGCAAACACTTGGCTAACTGAGCCATTTCCCTAGCCCAGAGTTGGTTATTCTTAACAAACACGGAAGGTTTTTCAGGTCAGTATCTGGAGGCTTAGGGTTGTGCACAGCTGAGATCAGACCTTTGGTGGGATTTTATCCACCAGACACTCTGATGGGCCTTCCTGATCTGAGCTAGCAGGCAAGAGGGGCAGACTCAGGGCAAGGCAGAACACAATGAGTTTTACCTGGAGTGAACTACAATGGCCAGTCCTCCAGCTGACCAGCCTAATACGTTCCTTTAGTTGGGATGTGTGTGTCACACAGACTGATTCCACTGTCACCATCATGGAACTCTCCACCGACTCTCAAGGAGAACACATGTTCCCATAGGACTAGGGACTAGGAAAGTGTATGGACAGCCACGGTAGAGAGCAAACCTGGCTGAACCATGACCTGGAACTTCTACTTTTGAAAACACCAACTAGGAGAGACATTCATGGTGGTCTTTACACGGTGTGGATTTCCCAAGTGAGCACCTTCCTCAATGCACAGATGCTCTTCTGAATTTAGTAATAACAGTAACGCAGCAAAGTCTATCCTAACAAAGTACCTGTGTCAAATCTAAACTGATAACAAACTAAATCGACCCTCTAACTGTGGACATATCATCCAAATGATGGCATTGAGACATCTGTCTCTAGGTCAACTGTAAAAGTCATCATTAATAGGATTTTATAAAAAGCCCAAGTTTACGACAGGACTCAACAGTGGTACCCAATCACCATCAAAGGTACCTGCTTGTCAAGAGAGATACTCTTCAACACATCACACATCACAATTATGCTATTAGTGTAAGTGCTTCGCTTCCTATGACAAATGCTCTTGTTTTTTCTCTAAGAGTGTTTTAAACCTGAGTGTTAGTGTTTTACATGTTCTTTTTTGTAGTGGTTGGCTTCCAGGAGAATGGATCTTCAGACATCTTCCCTTGTGGTTATAATTTTTCTCAACACCAACAGCACTGCCTAAGGACAGCCAGAGCTCATTAAACAGCATAATTATAATGAACAATTAGCTGGAAATTAGTCTTAATGATTTGTTTTAGATGATAGACTAGAGGCATAATGTAATTATTTTTAAACTTTCTACATCGTTAAGAATGCAACGGCACTACCATTCAATTATGTGAAGCGGGCAATCATGGAGGCTGCAGACCATCACGGAGGGAGGCTGCAGTCCACTCATGGAATGGGGTTAAGGCAGCCAGAAGGCTGCACCCCACCCAGGCGTTTATAACTACTCGGCCTTCCTGTTCTACTAGGTTTTTTTAAAGCTACTTCATGCCTTAAAGACATCTCTACTGTGATAAGTTAAAGCATTCAACACAGAGATTCATCTTTCCCAGACTCTACCATTCTCCTCCAAGACACCAGGGTGGATAACGGCAGGTGGTAGAAGGAACTAGAAGAATCTGGAGGCTAGGAGGTGGCCTCAGATGCCAGTTCACACCATCATCCTGGATGGACAGGAAAGGAGGTTGTGTAAGTCATAGATGAAAGAGCATTAGGAGTAAGCACCAGAAAGCAATTGATCTAGGTCATTCATTCCTCGTCTGTTATTCCTTTTCCATTTAGAGTTTGTGAAATCAATTTGAATCTTATTTCTCATAAAAACTTTAAAAGTTTTTGTTTTGTTAAATTATGTACATGTGTGTGCATATGTGTGGGCACCCAATGCCCCTGGAGCTGGGGGTACAGGTAGTTGTGAGTCACCCAACTTGGGTTCTGGAACTGAACTTGAACTCGGTCCTCTGCAAGAGGGCTTGTGAGCCATTTCTCCATCTCTGACCTCCCAAGAATTTTTTAAAATGTACAATAGATATCTACAAAAAGTTCTTTTGTTTTCTGAAAAATCTAAAAATATTCACTTAGAGAATGAATAAGCATTTGTTGTCAAAAGTTTGCCTTTAAAAAAATTGTGTTTTTCACCTTGGCTAACCAGGGTTCTGTTTCTGCCTCTACGCCCGAGTCAAGCTGTTAGGTCTTTTGTTGTTGTCCATCAGAAGTCATCAGGGAGCGTAGCCCAATACCCACATAAAAGACCTGGTACCTGTGTTTCCACATCACAAAGCAAGCCAGCAAGCACACAAGGCCACAGACCAGGTTTAGAACCATCTGGATAATTAAGAACAATTTGAAAGTGCCAGTGATGCTGGTACAGTCAGCCACATCCCGGTAAACAAAGGTCCTGCTGAGAGGCTCCGAGGAAGGCAGTTTGCACAGGCAAGAATCGAGGGAGGTCTCACAGGTAAACTGTGCAAGCAGGGAACAGTGGTGGGCGGCAAATGCCACGGCCAGCATGCAGACCATCAGGCCCAGGGCACTCAGCAGGAAGTAGAGCACCTGCAACAGAGAAGAAAAGCCTTCTGTTACAGAGAAGATGGGCTGACCGCAAAGCAGGCTAGTGAACGGTTTTACTGAGTTCTCTCAAACCTTAATACCAAGACACGGATATACTTCATGTTGATTAGTTAGATGACTGATGGATTTTTGCAACAGGGTCTTATGTCCCCCAGGCTGAGGATGATCTTTAATTCCCAGTCCTCCCCCCTCCTGTGCTCAAGTGCCAGCATCATAGGTGTGTGCTACCGTGGCCAGCTTTAGAGTTATGTATGCCATTTGTCATGCAGTCCTTGGCTTTTTCCATGACCTGCAATGACCTGTTGGCTTGACTGTGGGATGTTTATGTCTAGATTTAGCAGGAAACGTAAATGAATCCCGAACAAGCCCTCTCTCCCAGATGACACATGGCACTTATTTTTTAAATTGAGAATTGCCAGTCATAGGATGGAAACGAGATTGGAAAGTAAAGGCCAGGTTTCTGCAATACGAGCACCGTGTTGGTCAAAATTATTACAGGTTGATCAACTAGTGATAAAGGTTAATGGAAAACAGAATGTACTTGATACTGTAGTTATCATACTACAGCCATGATTGTCAAGACCCCCGAGCAAGAGGCCTCTGGGTAGAAAAATAAGTGATGGCTATGGAAGGCAGGTGACTTAGCCTACATGGTAGCTCTGGGATTGGTCGTGCTGGTTAAAGTTCTAGCTCTGCTTGGAAGGAATTGTGGACTCTCCATAAACGTCTCTGGTTTACTTTACTTACTTCTGGAACATTGTGTCCAAAAGTCGTGGGTTCTCACCAACAAGGCCACAATAAAATTCCCTGTGCAGCACAAGAGATGCTCTTGGGACTAGAGTCACACACCAGACACAGTTCTCTTTGTGGTCTCCCTGTGTGGGGTCCAGATAAAACCGGACTTTGGGACTAGTGCCTACAGTTTGTAGGACAAGATTTATGCTGCAACATAGACAAAAGCCGCTCCTTACTGAGAGCAGTTCTGATGTATGGCTGAGGCCAGCCTTGAACTCCTGATCCTCCTGCCTCTTCCCATCAAGGGCTGGGATTTCAGGCAGGTATCATCATGCCTGATAAAACATCTTGTATCTTAGAAACATAACAGGAATAATTTGTACTTGACATGTTTAGTGTTCCTTGGAGGGGGAAATCAGGGAAGTGCAAAGTGGCATCATTATAAAATTAGAAAGGATTTATTTAATTTGTGATATTAAAAGGACTGCTTCGGTCCTGTCCCCAGAACATTCAGTGACAATATTTTATGTAGACTTGGTGTGTTTAGACTTCAAAATATGGATTTATTGTGTAAGGCTAATGGCATAGAATATTGAAAATATTGTGGATTATTCTGAAATCTTTGGGTTTGGTGATTGAATTTAAATTCCTGGTATGGGGAGCCAGTTTATGCTGCCCACGTGTGACTGCTTGCAGGAGGAACCCCAGTTAAAATGGTCATTTCCCTTTGTGTAGCCATCCACTTAGTAGAACAGCCCCAAATTGAAATTCTGCCACACCATTTTATTTTTTATTTTTGGCCACCAGCAGACAGATCCTACAGTTGCTCTTCTGTCTACTGCATACCCTGCCTTGTGCACACATTCACAATCACACCCAGATGCACACACATGTCCTTAAATGGTAGCTATTTCTAACACTTACTATGGGAAAGTCCATTTGTTGACAATAAGAAGTCTGTATATTTTAAAGAAAATAGGGCTGGCAAGATGGCTTAGTGGGTAAAGGCTCCTGCCACCAAGCCTGATGACCTGAGTTCAATACCTAGAACCCACATGGTGCCCTGCAAGATGCACCCTGGCCTGTACACACACATCATAGCACACACACACACATCATAGCACACACACACACACACACACACACACACACACACACACACACACACAGAAAATAAATAAATAAAATAGAATTTAAAAAATTTTTAAATGATACATTGTAGCTCAGATATTTATTCCCAAGCACACAACAGTGAAGGACATGAGCCGGCAGGCCAGACCACCTAATTAAGGCTTTGCTCCAGAATGCTACCTGGGGCTCATCTGTTGGACATATTAACCGTCATCTCTTTACCTGCACATCTGTCTGGAGTGATACTTCTAACCTGACTTCATAGTATCACCCTAAGGATCAAGAGCAGATATCTCCCAAGGGCACAGGAGTTAAACCAGCAGAGACGGAATGCTGCCATTTCTAGAAACCTCCCAGGACCAGCTCTACTATCTGTCTTGTTTTCTGCTACGTGGGAGGAACAAAGTGGACTTGGCTTGTAGAAGGTTGTAAACATTGACACAAACACAGAGGTTGCTTAATTGTAATCTAGCTCCTTTAATATGCAGAATCCAGCAGCTCAAGGACAGGGGAAGAGAAGCCACATCCCTTCGCAAAGTGACATGGGCACACATCAGAGTCAGGGAAGCCTCTTGTCTGAGGTCACAGATACTCAAGCCTGCTGGTGACATCTGCAAGGTCCCTTCCTGACGGCCACAGGCTCGTGCATTAAAACCCACAATTTAAAACCAGGCACCCTGTTTTGCCCACATGACAGAAATAAACTGTCAATGAAGGCAGGTGTGTGGAATGACCTTGGATATGACAGCAGCCTGTGTGGGTGTCCCAGCAGAATGTCCCTGGAGGCCAGTTCTGTAATCCCCAGGCTTGCTCCTGACCTGCTGTCTCTGGAACCTGCTGAGACTTTCCCACTTGGCGGCTCTGGGAGGAGGGGAGTTCTGGTTAGATTTAATGTCTTCCCCTTGGCCAGAACTGTAAGGCCTTTCTGCTGCTGGGGAAGTGTCTGCCACCGAGCAGCCTGAGGAACCGCCAGCAAGGTGTCTGCAGACACATGACCTTCAAATGCAGGAGAGCACTCAGAAAAGGGGTACACCCACAGGGAGGCGGGAGGGTCCACACCCAGCGACCTGCTAGGCCCAGAGGCAGAGAGTCCAGGGGAAAAGCAGGGAAGTGCTAGTGGTCTCCAGGTCTAAGAGCAGGGGAGTGTGAGTATGTATGTGAGTGTGTGCTTGTGTGTGTTTGTGTGTGAATATTTGTGTGTTTTTATGTATGTGTGTATGTTTGTGTGTGAGTTTGTGTATGTGTGTGTGGTTTTGTGTGTTTGTGTGTTTGTATATGTGTGTGTGCTTGTGTGTGTGTGCATTGTGTGTATGTGTGTTTGTTTTGTGTGTGAGTATGAGTGTGTGTATGTGTTTGTGTGTGTGTTTGTATATTGTGAGTGTGTGTGAGTGTTTGTGTGTGAGTGTCTTAGGGTTTTTTATTGCTGTGAAGAGACATCATGACCACAGCAACTCTTATAAATAAAAACATTTAATCGAGGTGCTTCCTTACAGTTTCAGAGGTCATCATGGCAGAGAGCATTGCAACATGCAGGCAGATGTGGTGCTGGAGCTGAGAGTCCTACATCCTGACTCAGAGGCAACAGGAAGTCAACTCACTATCACATTGAAGGAAGCTTGAGAAAAGAGACCTCAAAGCCCGCCCCCACAATGACATACTTCCTCCAACAAGGTCACACCTCCTCATAATGCCACTCCCTTTGGGGGCCATTTTCTTTCAGACTACCACAATGTGTGTGTGTGTGTGTGTGTGTGTGTGTGTGTGTGTGTGTGTGTGTGTGTGTGCGTGCAGATGTGTGAGTTTGTGTATGTGAGTGTGTGTTTGTACAAGAAGACTCCATCACCATAGCATGGTGACTTGTCCTGTCTATCTAGGTACCCAATAAGAGAAAATAAACTAAAAAGCTTAGCCAGGGGAAAGAGGGCTAAAATGCAGCCACATGGTGACAAGCCCCTCCAGAAGGCCCATTTCATTCCCCCTAAACCACCATGGGAAGCACGGCACGAGCTGTGCCCTGTTGGAGCCCGGACAAAGCTCTTTCTGGAACAAAGATGCCACAAAGATTGCTGGCAGCAGCCTGGCTGAAGGTCCCCTTCAGGGAGGAGGAAGGACCGCCTGTCTGTCAGTCAGTGTCTGTCTTGCTGAAGAAAGGAAAGAGCTAAGGAGACTTTCCCAGGGGGGTCTGCAGCCTGCCGACACCAACAGCCATCCTTCTTCTTCTTCTTCTTCTTCTTCTTCTTCTTCTTCTTCTTCTTCTTCTTCTTCTTCTTCTTCTTCTTCTTCTTCTTCTTCTTCTTCTCCTTCTCCTCCTCCTCCTCCTCCTCCTCCTCCTCCTCCTCCTCCTCCTCCTCCTCCTCCTCCTTCTCTCCTTCTTCTTCTCCTTCTTCTTCTTCTTCCCCATCCCTGTTTTTCTTTTTCTTCTGTTGTTTTTTTAAGGGACAGATGTTGAGACGCCTGACAGGGGACTCACTGAAAGGGAGGCTTCATCTGCACTTTTTCAGGAATCAGGAAGGGAGTAAGGAAGTCAGGATGCTCTCCATGCCTGGATACAACCCACACCAGAGTACTCCTACCTGCTGGATGAATCTCCTGAAACTTAGCAAGCTATTTCTTACTAGGTTTTTGGCTTTCTTGTTCTTTTCCTTTCTTTCCTTCTTCACATCACCATGCCTTGTTATTTGATCAGATCATCAAAAACAAGAGCCTGAACTGGTGTCTGCTCCCTCTTGCCTTCTTCTAAAAACAACAACAGCAAAAACAAAAAACAAAAACCCCTCATATCAAGAAGGTACATTTCAGGGCTGGAAACATGATTTAGGGGTGAAGAACACTTGCTATTCTTACAGAGGACCCAAGTTCAGTTTCCAACACCCACATGGTGGCTCACAACTGTCCTTCAAAGTGTGAGCACACTGCTTTTTATACCACCATCTTTGAATATATGACATTCTCCTCCTCCTCCTCCTCCTCCTCCTCCTCTTCCTCCTCCTCCTCCTCCTCCTCCTCCTCCTCCTCCTCCTCCTCCTCCTCCTTCTTTTGAGACAGAATTTCATGTAGCTCAGCCGGTCTCCAACTCAGTACATGGCTGAGGCTGGCCTTGAACTTTTGAACTTCTGATCCCCCTGTTTCTGCTTAATGACTGGTAAGATTATAGTCAGTCATGTGCCACCATGCTCCGTTTATTTGGTGCTGGGAGTCCATGCTAGGCAAGCACTGTATCAACCGAGCTACATCCCCACATTTTAAACACATCCTATTTTTTATCTTTGTGGCTTTTAAATGACATTGTTGACTTATTCTTGGGCTTCATGCTTCCTCATTGTAGCAAAGAACGTGCCTAGAAGAAAAGTCAACTACAGATGGGCAAGAGAAACATACAGAACATTCTTCATCCTTGGCTATGGCACTGAGTGAAATCCACCAGCCAAGCTGTTTGTTTTATGTTCCTCACCTCTGAGGGAAGTGTTTAAGTCTCTGTTTAAGTGTTTAAGTTAAGTATAATCTGGAGATTATATTTGTGGAGCGAGGTGCTGTGTACTTAAACAGACTGCAACCAAATGCACTGTCCACAACAGACAAAAAGTTCATAGTAATGAAAGACAGAATTGCCAAGCCCTGCATAGCCTAGCCATTTCCCACAGACTATTGGCAGGACCCACTGGATTTGGCCAATGTTCCTTTTCTGTCTTGGTGCTCCCACCTACAAGGGGAAACACTCAGATTGTTTCATTATTGAAATATTCCAAATAACCACAAGATACGGAAGTGGGCACCTTTCCCTGGCCAAGTGTTTCCTTGAACTGATGACTGTTCAATATTCCTTTTTGGGACATTAAAGGTGTGCTCTAGGAACAACCTAACTCATGGAAATTAAAAGGACCAGCATTACCTCTGCGTCTGGACCAATATGCTCCTAAAACATGTTTGGACTGCCTGAAAACGAAGTTTCTAAACTCGTCAGATATGGAACACTTGAAAAGCCCTCTTCTTTTTGTGCTCACGTTTCTTCCTATGTAATGATTCTGAAAAAAGGAGAAACAACTTACTTTCATCAAGAACTGGACACATGTCCTCTCATCAACTTGATATGAGACACAAAGCATGAACAGTCCAAGGTAGGCCACCACGCAGACCTGCAGCAGGGACAAAGGACATCATTGGGGCACACGTGTCAGGACTCCAGAAACACTCAGCTCTGTGTCCTTCCTGGGATCACCTATTTTGTCAAGCCCTTCAGTTCATTTTATTCATGTCAAACAGGTTTTTCTCAACTTGTGAAATTCAATTTTAAAGATGTATTTTTGCTAATTTTTATTGAGTATGTGTTTGTGTATCTATGTGTGGGTATGTGAACATGAACGCAGTGTCCTCAGAGGCCAGAAGAGGGTGTCAGATCCCTAGGCAGTTGTAAGCCATCTGACTTGGCGCTGGGAACTGAACTAAGGTAGGTAGGTTCTCTTTGTGAGCAGTCTGCACTTTGAACCATGGAACCATCTATCCAGTCCAGTGGAACATGGTTGTAAAATAGCAAAGACATTGTTTTAGCTTAGCCAGTATTTATTAAGTTCCTCTGTGTTCCAGGTACTACAGAAGATGGTTCAGAGTATATACAATGATAAATTAAATTTAATCTATTTGATTAGTATATGTCCAGTAGAGTCCAAATAAACTCACACACTACGCTAAGGCAGGACATTTTCTGCTACGTGCCATTCAGAGAACTATAAAAGCTTAAAGAAATTGAATCTAACAGGAAAATACAGAAGGCTTTGCTTAAAACTTAGGCTTGGAAAGGAATAATAATAGTGACAGCCACTAGCAACCTGCTGGAGTTCGTCTAAGGACTTTCTTCATGTCATCATCACAGAATCCTATAAAGGGGGTTTTGGGGTGATGGAAAGGAAGCCAGGGGCCCACACTGCAGGCCTGCAGCACACAGCAGTCAGCCTGGCCGAAAGCAGATGCAGGAGCCACAGCCCAGCAATGGGACAATGTAGAGCAGGCTAGCAGAACAGACAGACCCACAGCAGAATTGTAACAAAATGTAGAGTAGAAAAGGCAGGGGAAGACAGGACAGAGGGGTGATAAGGCGGTGGCTTGGCTCTCCAGCAGGGGGTGACATGGCTTTAGATACACTTCAGGAAAATAATCAGAGATGTCCGGTGATGTGGCAAGGATTCCGAGATGCTATTTCAGCAATCTGAACAAGATTAGTCTATTGGGAAGCTAGGTGTGGTGGCCTCATGCCTGTAGTCTCAGCACGCTGGAGGCTGAGGCAGGAGGACCACCGTGAGCTCCGGGTGACATTTCTAGAGAGGCACATCATTGGAATCATGAGCATGCTGGTCTGAAGAGTTGTGAATGGAAAACAAAGCAAGACTCAGGGAGGTGGTTCTACAGCACAGGACGGGCAGGTGCGGGCGGGGAGACAAGAGGCTGGGCAGTTCAGGTTTCTAAGTCGGGGAGCAAGTCCTTTGTGAAAGCACTTTCAAATTTGTTATATTATCAGCATGTATTAAAAATACACAACAGATCTCATCATGACATTTTTCATACACATGCATAATATATCTTAATCACATCATCCACTTCCTTCACTGCCCCCTCCCATTCCAATGACCCCCTTTCTCTTTCCACTCAGCACCCTCTGCCATTTTCATGTCTTTAAATACATTTTTAAACATTCCAGTGTGGCACAAGTTTGGCGAGGCTGTTGGGGTTCACTACCTCTCCTCACACAGAGGATCTGCAGGACTGAAGCAAAGGGACAAGGGCCTTGGTTTGTTTTTTCTTATTTCTTTTTTCATTCACAGCAAGCCAGACAGAATGTTCCAAACTCGCTCCTGTCACATCCTGAAGCACATGCCTGGGCTTTCTCCTCAGCTTCTGTCAGCAGGATCAAGATTTCTCCCACATAATGTCTTGGTCCCTGGAGGCTGCTGGGCTGAAATCTCAATTGCCAAGCTCTCCGTCCTTCTCATGATGAGACATGTACATTCTAATGATCAAGACTGACTGATAGTTCCTCCACAATACAGAGCCCCGTTAGCAGCCACTCTTGGGTCACCTTCACTAGGCCTGACCTCCAGCAAGACACTGTGCAGCATTGTAATGCCCAGCCACTTGTCCATCTACTGAACTTCGTGGCTTACACAGTCTGTACTGCTCCATGACTCTGGGAACTGAGAGACGAAAACCACAGTCTCACTCCGAGGCTGACCCAGCCTGACAGAAGGAAGTGGCAATATAATGGAGGTGTGAACAGCATATAAGCTGCAGGAATGCACAGATGGTGTAATTGACCTGATGAAGGCTTGGGGAAGTTCTCTGGAGGAAGATGGATGAGAATATGTTTGTCGTGTACCTAAGTTACCCACTTTGGACAGAAAGTACCTCAAATATACTTCTTTTAACTTTGGTACATTGTGTCATATTGTTATAGGGCTTGTGCTAGCTCAACACATGTTAATAAGTTAGCATGTATAAGCTGAGGGTGGGGTCTTCTTACCCATAGCTTCACATGAATTATCATTTTTTTCTTGTTATTAGTAGTATGTACAGGATGTTACGGAAAAATCATCTTCATCGAACACTTCAAGCTGAAGGCTTGACAGCCATAGGGAAAGTTCTCACGCCAGACTGAAGAACCTACTTCCTGAGCTGGCAGGATATGGACATGCCAGAAGACATGGTATTCTAGTTGCAGGCAGGGAAGGGGAGGGCATGCTAATGTACGATCCCCCTGGAATCTGGGCCAGGGGAGACATGGGGCTCTGAACATTAGTGCCAAGAAGCAACAGGGCCAGGGTCACTGAAGGCTTGGGGACATTGGTTCACCACAGGTGGGTAACTGTATTGATAAGAAAACCTTAAAGTATTCTTTTGAATGGAAAGGAACAAAAGACAAAAATCATTTTAACCTATTTTTTGTTAGACATACTCTTCTACAAGCACTTTGCTTCTAAACCCCACAATCTATAGAAAGACAGTTCTGTCTGTACAGGGGAAAGTCCACCTCTCGTGAGCTGTAGAGCTAAGCGGGGCTGGAATGTTCTCTGAATGTCGAGTCTGTTTCCAGACAGAGGGGTCGCAGGGCTTGCCACACACTGGCTTTGCTTATTTGACCTAATTGACTGCAGATACATCCCTTAAAGAATTATGAGTACAAGGCAAGGAGATGCATAGGTATAAATTATTTTTTCATTTTGCCATGGCAAGAAAGTAGCACCCAGAATATTCTGCAAAAATGAGAATTATTATCATTTACCTCTCCCTTGGTGTATATTTATATTCTGGCCTTGTGATATTCTCACTGCCTTCAATTTATTTGTTTTCTTCTTTCAACATTGTTGTCAGAGTTGCTAGACAGGGTTTTTGGGGAATAAAAACGTCTGCCGAACACCTTCCATTATTTCTCTGCCCTTCTCAGCCCCATTGATCAACTGTAAATGCGAAACGTGACTCTATTTCTGTAAGTATTGGATGCAAAGTGCTTTCATCCAATAAGTATTGTAACAAGAGGAACTTAACCTCTCCCCATGGTCATGAAGTCAATGGACCACTCAGGAAAGTAGATTGCATCTCACTGGTTTTTCTGAAGGGAATCTCTATAGAAGTCACCTACATTATGTAAGGAAAAGTAAACTATTAGGAGTCATTTTCAACAAATGATAAATGTATTGTAGTCTCTGTGTGGTGTTGTCTTACTCAAGAGAGCTGTTAACACATAATGTGCCAGGAAAATAAATAATAAGAAAAACAAAAGAGCTATTGGAGGTTGCTTATTTGATCAAGATTTCAAGACCGACAGGCATCCGTAAGCATGGCTGAAGAATTTTTTTTAACTCTATTCTCATTGCTGGTTCCTTATTAAACAAGGCCAAGAAGCCTGGTTCAGAATCACCTGAAGAGCTTGGTCCATCCCATCCTCACAATTTCTTACTCAGCAGGTCTAGGGTTGAGACCCAGAATCTGTATCCTTAACAAAATTCCAATACTGCTGCTGTTGGTCCTAGGGCCACACCCTGAGAAGCACAGGTCTAGGTGTGAACAGTCCCCTGAGTGCCTGTGTGGAGTCTATCAGAATGGCAGAGCACTGTATAGAGTGATTCCTCATGAACAGTGAAAACAGTATGTATTATCCAGGACCACTTACAGCGTGTCAGCCCTATGTAGAATGCAGCAGACTTTCTTGGACTGCCAGCCCCCCAAATCATGACACAGAGACTTGTTATTGTTTATGAATGCTTGGCCTTACCTTATGCTTGTCCCACTAGCTCTCACAACTTATGTTACTCTGTTTCTCTTCATCTACATTTTGCCTCAGGGCTTTTACCTTTCATTCTGTATGTCCTACTCCGTGTCTGTCTGCCTGGCAGCTGCCTGGCTGGCTGGTTGGCCCTGGGCATCTTCCTCTCTTTCTCCCTCGTTCTCTCTCTCTTTTCTTTTTAAGCCTAAATTCCACCCCTTATTACTTATTCTCTCTGCTCACCAGCCCAGCCTATCCCTCCTCTGCCAAGCTATTGGCCGTTTAGCTTTTCATTAGCCCAATCAGGTGCCTTAGGCAGGCAAAGCAACACATCTTTACATCATTAAACAAATACAGCATAAACAAATGTAGTACACCTTTACATAGTTAAAGTAATATTCCACAACAGTAGAATGCTTTACATTTATTTCTTCCCCTCATCTTCTGAGACTTCATAATGTAAAAGGTTAGGTGTATGTTCATTGTAAGATGAATTTTTAATATTCATAATGTATACACAATAAAAGTGTTGGTACCATGAGACAAGCTAGTACTCATAATGTAAGAACTCTTAAAATTGGTGACAAAATCCCTCTGTCTCTGAATTCTCAGCACATAGTACATACACGTCATCCTGATATACTGGATGGGTATCACCCACATCAACCCAAAGCAAAACGATCTCTTCAAAAATTGGACCACATCTTCAGGGGCATGACAGTTAATGTTCAACAATGGCTCAGAGCTGTTTGCCATATCCAGTCATTCCCATGGAGTAAATTCTACCAGGGCAGATTTCAAAGTACCAAAGAGAGCCATCAGCTTTCATGAGTGTACAGACTTCCCTCCCACACTCCATCCCACCACATCTTCTGCCTCTGCTTT